CTCTCTCTCTCTCTCTCTGTGTCAGTCTGTCTGTCTCTGTGTGCGTGTGTGTGGCAGTGGTGGGTGTCAAAAAAAATTGGAACCTCTTCTGTAGGTGTGGCCTGCTTTCCGGGTCCACTGGTGGAACCTCTTCTAACCGGTTTGGTAGATTTGATGAACCGGTTCTACCGAATAGGTGCGAACTGGTAGGAACCCACCTCTGTACCCAAGCATTGTTGTGCCAAAAATACAGAAACAAGAACAGGTTTTGATATGGCCTCAAAAACAGTTGGGTGATGCCACAAGATTGTGCATGTCTACTGAGGGAATGGCCTTTGGAACCTCATCCCCACACCAGCTTCCTTCTTTCTCATAGAATACATATTGCAAATCTGGGCTGGCAATCGATACACCACCTCAATTGTCAATAAGAAAGACAAAAAAAAAAGTCTGGATAGCGGCTGTGGCAGTATGTGGAGACAGCAGAAGAGAAGAGAAAAAGCTGGGGAAAATCACAAACTACAAAGGCCTTCAAATAGAAATAGAATGACTGTGGTGAAAGAAAGCAAAGTTACTACCAGTAGTAATAGACACCTTGGGTGCAATCCCAAAACAATTGGAGCACCACTTGAACACCAATGGCATTAACAAAATCACCATCAATTAATTAAAAAGGCAGCTTTACTTGGAACAACTTACATCACATGGCAATATATTTAACACCATCAAACAAGAACATCTGCCTATCCCAGGTCCTTCGGAAGGACCCAATAGGTGGATAAAAATACCAAATCCAGTCTAAACATCTGGATGACTGTGTGATGAACCATGAATTCTGAACAGATTTTAAAAATTACCAACTAAGTCTAAGTATCATCCCCTCGTCACTTGTTCTAAGAGCGTTTCTCTTAGCTGAAAAACAAGAAAATATACATTGTGCCTGGTTTTTAGAAGATATTGTAAAGCATATTTTAGAAGCTTAGAATCCCAGGAGAATTGAACTCCTGAATGATACACTTTTACACATGCTTCTTCCAGTATGAGTATCACTGAATGTGAACAAAAGCAGTCAGTATGGTTCAAATTAAGTGTTCAGTTCATATGTTGCTTATGGAATTTATTTCTTGGATTATAATTTATTATTTTAAACCTTTTGCTTATGTAATTATTAAAGGGCTTATTTTACCAGTAATTAAGCTGCAACATGGAACTTGTCAAATATGTCCCTTACTGCCTTTTGTTTTTAATTTAATGCAGAACCCCAGCATGTCTGGATTTCCTAACAAATCAAAGGAATTTGTTTAACTGAGGTTGCCCAATTAATAGTTTCAAATTTTAAGCATAGTTAGATATGTTAGATAGGATTTAAAAAACCTTGGTTAGTTTTTGTCTTTTGTATGTTGGGGGATGTAATAAATTTAAAGGAACTTTGATATGATATCTAATCAATGATGTTATTACAATGATGGATCAGGTTATTAAAGGTGGCAAAAGATTTTAATATTTTGTTTAGTTATAGCTGAAAAGTCTGGAATCCTACAATTTATGAAGGACGTTGAATGTATTGAACTTTGACTATCTTTTATTTTTTTAAAAAGACCATGTGTTCATGAGAGAATGCTGGTGACCAAGCCTGTAAATGTTGGCTTAACAAATTTCCCAACTGTCAGCTTTTAAAAGAGAGTCAAGACCAGGCAATATGGTTCCATATGATTCAGCTTCAATTTCATTATTTACAAAATATATCAGAGTTTTTATAAGGAAATTATATAATGTATCAGCCCAGTGGTGGGTTTCAAAAATTGTTCGAACCTACTCTGTGGGTGTGGCCTCCTTTGTGGGAGTGGCTTGCCACCCATGTGACCGGATGGGANTTTCCTTTCTGGGACTCCCCGGGGCCACCGGCCTGTGCTTCAGTCCCAAGCAGTCTCTGCCCCACAGCAAGGGGAGCTGTGTGTCCCTTGGGGGCCCAGCAAGTCTTCTTCCTTCTTGGCCCCTTAGCCCAGCGTGCCCAAAGGGAGAGCCGCCCGAGGAAGGGACTGCTGGAGGCGGCAGTGATTCTCCCCAGCCTCTGCTTTCCAATGGGCAGGCACTGAAGTGCGATCAAGGAAAGGCCCAGGAGGCAGCTGTCCACCCATTTGCCCCGGAGCTTCCTGCTGCCCTGAAGAATTCCAGCCTGATATCCTGCACTGGATTATCTCCAGCAAGAAGCTCAAAAGGAAACGCCGGCAGAAATAAGCAGGGCCCGGACCCCCCACTCAGGTTGCCAACGATGCAGCCACCCACCCAGGGAAATCCTGCCCCAACCTGTCTACCCCGGTGGCCCCCATGGCTAGGAGGGGGGATGTGTGGCTGGTATGTGACAGGGAGCCACCCCCAGCTGGGCCTTGTGGGCACCAGAGACCCCTGCAGGTACTCCCGTGCCCAGCACTGGCCCAACCCCCACCTCCCTGAAGCCCTCCGGTCCCTGGAGGGGCGTTGGGGGAGCTCCAGCTAAGTCAACAACATCCCCAGAGCTGCCCGTCTCCAGATGCCAGGCGGTGGCTTCTTCTTCTCACCATCAGAGAGTCTGCGGTGGCGGCAACAGCCAGCCAGCCCGTCATCGCCCGGCCCCCTTCCGTCGCCCTCTGGTCTGCATTTGCCTCGCTTCACCCTGGGCCAAAACCAGGCGCTTGGCTCTGCATTTTGTCGGTTGGCAGAAGGTCCCACTTGGTAGAGAGGCAGGGAAGTGGCTCTCCTCGTGCTGGGCACTCCAGCGGGGTCAGGCCCCTGGGAAACCTTGGGCAGAAGGGCAGGGGCTGCAGGGAAGGGCGCTTGGGCGAGGAAGTGTGGGGCAGGCGCTAGGAGGCTCTGGGGAAGGGGGCAGTCAGGTCATGGGGCTGGCTCTGCGCTCATTTCCCTGGCGCCGGGAAGGGGGGGGGGGGACAAGCCGGGCTTCAGTTTTGCATTATGAGGCTGAGGCGCCTGCAACAGAAGGAGTGCCAGCAGGCAGAGGGCCAGACCCACACGCTCCTCTGCCCAAACTCCCAAGATTCAGGACATCTGCAAGGGACGATGGCGCTCTGGGTCCCAGCCCAGATGCCGGAGGTTGCCCTGACCCCCGGAGCTTCCGCCAGCCCCCCGTGGCCCCCAGCCTGAACCCAGCAGCTGCTCAGACGGCTGGCTCCAACTGCTGCCATCGCCTCCTGCAGCCGTGTCACTCTTTCCAGAGGCCGCGATGGCCCAGCCGCGCTTCCCGCTCAGAGGCCCTTCGGCCACTTACTGGCATGTTGCAAGACTTTGGCTTGGCCGCCCCAGCAGCCCCTCCCCCTCCCCCCTGGCTGGCTGGCTGGGGTGACTGGCAGGGAAGCTTCCAGCCCTCCCAGGTAGGGCTGCCCCCGTGGCCGATGCCGAGAGCCACGCCAGACCTCCAACGGCCACGTGTAGCCATCCCACAGACCCCACACCAGCCCCAGCCCCCTCCCCCCTCTTCCAAGCCAATGGGGCCTGGCCAGGGCCGGGTTTCTGGGATGAGCTTTGTAGTCCCAGGCATTCTGAGGAGACAGGAGGGCTTTCTCTACAAGGAGTCCTCGACTTACGACAGTTCATTTAGTGACTGTTCAGTTACAGAAAAAGTGACTTATGACCCTTTTTCACACTTATGGCCGTTGCAGCATCCCCACGGTCACACGGTCAAAATTCAGGGAGTTGGCGACTGATTCATATTTATGACGGTTGCAGTGCCTCAGGGTCACGTGATCCTTCTTTCCATCCTTCTGAGCAGCAGAGTCAACGGGGGAAACTGGATTCACTTCACAGCAGAACCTGGGAGGCTTTGTGGGAGCCCCCCCTCCCCTCCCCCACACCAGAGGGACTGCTAAAAGTACCCCCCCCCTTTTGCCCCAAGCAGAAGGGGTTCCCGACAGAAGAACTGAGCCTCCAGAAGTCGTGGAGGCCTTTAAGAAGCGACTGGACAGCCGCCCGTCTGAAACAGCAGAGTCTCCTGTTTGAGCAGGGGGTTGGACTAGAAGACCTCCAAGGCCCCTTCCAACTGTTTGTCTGCTAAGAGCATCAAATTGGCAGCTCACAGGTTGATGTCGTGAGCTCCTCTATGGCCCTGTGGGAGAACCTCTGAACCAGAAGCTCACGGCTTCTCCAACTGCCCCCCCCCCAAAAAAAAGAGATCCTGGGAGGAGATTCCCAGCCACCACAATTGGGAGAAAGTCATTTATTAAAAGATGCCAAGTAAGCGATGGACACGCCTGGAGCCTCCTCCTCCTCCTCCCAGCAGCCACTGTCCTGCGCATCGTCCACTGGGCTGCGTTGCCGGGAGACACTTCTGCACGCCTGGGGCTGGCTCAGCGCAGAGGGAGGGCCGACCCCCCCCCGCCCCTCCTCCCCAGGGCAAGGATGGTCTGGCCACAGCACTTGCCCTGCTCCTCCACAGGCACTGACCCCCACTCTGGGGGCAGAGGCCCCAGCACTTCCAGGGGGCTCTTCACCCTGCCTGTCTGCTCCGAAGTCCCGTGTCACGCCCGCCCACACAGTGCCAAGGAACCTCCTCCTCTCCCCCCAAGGGCGGGACCTCCCAGCAGCCCCACCCAGATGGGGGGGGTGTCTGTCTCTCTTCCTTGGGGAGGAGCGACTCAGTTCTCGAACCACTTGCTCTTCTTCAGCTGCAGGGGGGCCTTGCCAGCCCCCAGGATCCGCTGCTTGTACCCCTCCACCAGCTGCTCAAAGCGAACCTCCGCCCGGCCCTGTCCAGCCCGCCTCTTCTGGGGGCCCTGAGGACAAGAATGGGGGTCAGGCTCAGAAGGCTGGGGGGGGGGGGGGGATGGACGAACTGCACAGGCAGGTGGGCTCTGCATGGGAGGAGACCCCACCGACTCACCCGGGGGGCAGCTCTGGGCGGCTTCCGCTCTCTGGGCCCAGCCTTCTTCTTCTTGGGAGGGGCCCTCTTCGCTTGGCCCTTGTCGCGATTCCTGCCGGGAGGAAGCCCCCACCTCAGTGCAGGAAGCAGCACCAGGGAAGTTCCTTCCCCGTCCAGATGGCAATAGAGCAGGGAGGGCTCTGAGCAGGACCTCCGCCCTCCGGCCAGGGACCCTGGAGCTCCCTCCACCGCTGCCTTTACCTGATCTTGGGTCCCCGGTGGGAGGGGAGGGCCAGGACCCTCCGCCGCTTTGTGCCATCCGGCAGCTCCACCGTCTCCTGCTCCTGGCATGTCTGGAAGCCTGACCAGCTGGTGGCTCCTTCGGGGACCTGAGGGTTCGGCGAGGGCCCGGGCCGCTTCCTCTTCTGGCCACTAGGCCGTGGTGGAGCCTGAGGTCCGCTGGGGCCCCCCGCCTTTCCTTTGGCCCCTGGGGCCTTCTTCGAGCCCTTGGGTGGCTTCTGAGGGGCCCCCGGCTGGCCAGTGCCAGGCGGTGGCCCCTGACCTGCTGGCCCGGCAGCTGCTTCCTTCTGCCTCAGCTTTTGCTGCCAGAGGGAGAGAAGGGTCACCCGGCAGCCGCCCAACTCAGCAGGGAGAGCAGCCTCTGCACAACAGGCCGGCCACCTCCCACTGCTGGCCGCAGCTCTCCAGCCGGGGGGGGGGGGGAGGCACCTAGTGCTGAGCAGCTTCTGGAGTGGCCAACCCCCCTTGAACTCATCTCGCAGCCTGGGCCCAGCCCCTCCCTTTGGGTGCTGCAGCCGGACTCCCCTTATTACTCCAGCAGCTCAGGATGCAAAGCTGAGGACCCCCCCCCCCAGGACCCCTCTAAGGAGCTCTAAGAGAATGGGGGACTGAGCCTGCCCGGGAGCTGCAGCCGTGGAAAGGGTCCCCCCGATGCCCTACCCGGCTGCGTTCAGCGCGCTGCTCCTTCAGCCTCAGCTTCCGCCCGTCCTCCAGGGAGAACTCCACAATAGGCCGCTGGGAAGAGAAGCAGCCCGTCTTGGGCCCCAGGGCAGATGCCAAGGGGCACCCGGACCCCTGCCCTCCAGTTCCCTGCCTGGATCCTTCTGTGGGGTGGGCAGAACCCTCCAGCCCCCTTCCCTCCGCAAACGGCCCCTTCTCCAGCCTTGGGATGCTCAGACGGGCGCGGGAGCCTCAAAGAGGAAGGGGGGCTGCTGGGCCGAGCAAGAACCGGCCCTGCGGTGCTGCCGCTGGGTCTCCGGAGAAACTGAGCTCAGCCGGGTTCCTCCCTTGACCAGGCGGGGAAGAGACTCACCTTCTGGTCCCCGAAGAGTTGGGGGTTGTTGTTGACGTGGCGCAGGGCAAGCAGGGCGTGTTGGGGCTGCTGGAACTCCACAAAGGCGTAGCCCAGGGACTGGCCCCGCCCCTTCAGCTCCCGCATCACCCGGCACTGGGGGGGGGGGGAGAGGCAGCGGGTGGGTTGGCCGCTCCAGCGCTAGAGGCTGACGGACCCACCCGAAAGGGCCAAGGGAGCCCCAGACTCTGCAGGGAAGGTTCCACTTCATCATCCGCCTGAAACCTCGGACGTCACCCAATCTCAAGGAGCCATTGGGGCCACAGCAAGACACCCCCTCCACCCCTCGGGCTCCGGACTCAGCCATGGAGTGCCCCCCACTCTCCTGCCCTGCAGAAGCAGAGAAAGGCCAGGGGTGGGAGGGGAGCCCAGGGACCTCCACCCTCGGCCTGCCCAGCTCCGGAGCACCAGCTGCCTTCCTTCCCTCCGGCTGAGCCCCGGAAGCAGCGCTGTGGCTCTGCAGCTCCTGCCCAGCCCCCCGGGAGAAGCCCAGCCCAGCCCCCGTCCGGGCGGCAGAAGGGGGGGGGAGGCTCCCCGGAGAGGCCAGGGCAGGCTCACCTCCTTGATCCTGGCGCCAGAGGAGCCGCCACCCGCCGCCTGCAGCATGACCTTCCGCAGAGCGGCCCCATCCACACTCTTGGGCAGGTTGTGGACGCAGAGCCTCGTCTGGGAGACGAAGATGTTCTGGTCCTTCAGCTTCAGCCGCTTCAGCTCCTCAAACTGCACGGGGGACGGCGGAGACCCCGTCACTGCTCTGCCCGTCCGTGGAACCCGCCCCGTGCCTCCCTTTCCCTCCCTCCCTCCCCGAACTCCCCCGGGCGAGGCTGGCGTCCAGAGCCCCCGGGGGCAGAGAGTCTTCCTGGGCACCTCGGCTGCCCAAGTGCCCTCAAGAGCCACGGGGGAGAACTGGCAGGGGGGCCCACTCACCCGGGCCCTTTTGGCCATATCCGCATCACTGACCCCCTCGGCCGCTTTCGTGCCAGCCCGGATCACTGCAGAAGGAAAAGGAAGGTGAGGCTGGCCGGGGGTGGGGTGGGGGGCACTGGAGCTGCAGCTGCCAGAGGTCCCAGTCCCCGAGAACCCTCCCTTGCGCCCTTCTCCTCCCCAGGCAGGGCTGTGCCCAGGATCCCCGGGGACGAGGGGGGCACCCACTCACAGCCTTCCCGCGCCAGGTAGAGGTTGCGGGTGCCGGTGGGCTTGGGGGTCTTTGGGCTTCGCAGCTGCTGGGCTTCCTCACGGCTGACGGCCAAGTCCACCCGGAGACGGCGGCCCCCCAGATGAAGCCCACGACCCTTGCAGGGAGAAAACCGAGGTAAGGCGGAGGCACCCCGCGAAGGAGCTTCTGTGAGTTCAACGGGGGAAGCCCCCCTCATTGCCCCACGGGGTCCCCCTCTCACCTCAGTCTCCTCCTGCGCCCTCTGCAGGCAATTCTGGGCAGCTTCTTGGGTGGCAAACTGGGCAAAGGCACAGCCTGAGGAGGGCAAAGGGGGGGGGGCATTGGAGGAAGGCAGGCAGGAAAAGCTTCGGGGGGGGGGGCTTCTGAACTGCCCCTGCAGGTGGGGGGGACGGACACAAGGAAAAGGCCCATTTTGGCCCATGCTTTTCCTCCCACGGGGGAATGGGGAACCAGAGGAGGGTGGGGGCCGTGGGCAAGTGAGGGGATGGGGTCTGCAAGCCCCACTCACCTTTGGAGTGCTCTGTCTCGGGGTGCAACACAATCCGGACGTATTTCAGGTCCCCGAACTGCTCCAGCAGCTCCCCCAGCTCTTCCTCTTCCGTGTCAAAGGACAAGTTCCTGGGGGGGGGGAGCAGAGACGGCTCCCTCCACACCTGACCTGACTCTCCCCCCTGCTTCCCCCCCCCCCCCGGGCGGCTGGAGGGAGGCGGCTGCCAGGTCTGCCTAGCAGTTTCCGTGTTGTTGCCAAGCGTGGCCATGGGCCACCTGGGGGCTCTCCCTGGACAGAAGGCCCTTTGGGGCTGCAGCCCAGCAACCCTCGAGCCCCCAGGAGGGCACTAAGCCCCCTCAGACCCACCTGAGGAAGAGAGTCCGGCCCTCTGCGACATCAGAGCAGCGCGGCTTCTGCTTTGGGCCGGGGTCCTTCCCCTCCCCTGCAACGAGAGGGAGGCAGGTGAGGAAATGGGCGCTAAAACTCCTCGGGTGCAGATATCACCCCTCCTCCTCCCCCCCCTGGGACCCTCCACAGAGGCCCGGCTGCCCGCCCACCCCAGCACCTGAGCTGGACAAGGAAGGCTGGCAAGGGGGCCCCAGGAGGCGTCCCTAGAGAGCCACCAGGCAGGATGACTAAAGAAGGCCCCAGAGCAAGGGGGGCATCCCCTGAAGGACCCCCGTCAGCCTCACATGGGGAACCCTTGACTCACAACCATTCGCTTAGTGACAACAGCACTGAAAAAAGAGAACCATTTTTCACACTTACAGCCATTGCATCATCCCTGCGATCACATGATCCAGAAGGGTCGCAAAATAGGGCAAAACTCACAACTGTCCTGCTTAGCAATGGGAATTCTGGCCTCCATTGTGGTCCTAAGTCGAGGACTACCTGTCCATGGTCGTCTTCTGCTGCTCCAAGTATTGGCTGATTCTATGCGTGCAGACCCCCCTCCCCCCAAAGCATCTGAATGAACCAACCGACCTGCCCCTCCTCCTCCTTCCTCTTCCTCGTTGCTCTCCTCCTCCTCTTCCTCCTCTTCCTCCTCCTCCTCTTCAGAACTCCCAGCCTTGCCCAGTTCCTCCTCCTGCTCCGTGGAGCTGGCCTCCTGCTCTTCGTCTTCACTCTCCACAGGGGGACTTGGAGGGTCCCTAGAAGGAGAGGCCGGTCAAAAGGGATCAGGAAGAGGGCGTTTCTGGGGGGCAAAACCAGGGGGGGGAATCCACTGGCTTTGGGTGAGGAGAGGAAGCTGCAGAGCTTTGCAACTGCCCACCGTCCTGGAGAAAGCCGCCCCAGCTGACCACAAGCAAAGCCCTGGCCTTGTCCCCAGCGTGGCCACCCCAGGCTCCCTGAGCCTCACCTGCCGGGCCTGCCGGGCCCAGTGGCCTCCGGCCTCCCTGGTTTCTCTTCACTCCCACCCGCACCTTCCGGCTGGGCTTTCTTCCCTGCAGACGGACAAAGCACGTGAGGAGAGCTTCTGGGCCAGGCGGGGCCTTATTTGGCCACAGCGACATGCGTGAAGCAGCCGCTCCAAAATCTGGCTGCAAAACACCCAAAGTCCTTTTACAGTGAGGAGGCAAAAGAGTGGGAGAACAAAACAGACCCCACCCCCGATTCACCCAAGACGGCCACTCACCAGCAGGGACGCCTTCTGCCCGCGCAGCCTGGTACTTCTCCCGGGCCACGGCCCAATCCACGGCCACTGGACGCTCTGCAGAGAGTAAGGGGACCGCTGAGGCTGGCTGGAAGAGGGGCTACTACAGGGCCAGAGGCCCCAGACTCAGGTGATGCTTCCATGGGAGGACCAAAAGGTCACCCGTCTCTCGCCTGCCTTCAACCCCCTCAAGGGCTGCCCTACTCAGCTGCCAAGCCTCAGCAAGACGGCCACTGCAGAGGAGGGAACAGGTCACACGGAGACTCTGCTGCCTTTCCCGTGAGCAGGGCCATCGCCATCTCCCCTCCTTGCCCACTGACCCACACCGACCGAGCCCTCTGCAAAACAGGTCTCCCCGCAGCATGGCCCAAGGGAAATGGCAACCTGGAGAAGCCCCATCTTTCCCTCCTCAACCAGGCATCCCCCCACCCAAATTTGGCCTAACCATTGAACTTGCTCAGGTCCCCGGGAATTCCCGCCCTGCAGCCCTCGACTTCTGTAAAAACCTCAGCTTTCCCAGGGTTTCCCCCTCCCCATAAAGCCCCTCAGTATTCTTTCCCTCAGTATTCAGCACGAGTTCCTCTTATCCAGGACCCCTCCGTGCTGCTGACCCTCAGCCTGCACGGAAGGGAAGAGGGCAAACTCTTCCCCCAAGGCTTCCTGGCCCTCTGGGACTCCCTCAGCATGAGAAGACAGACGGCTACCCAGACCCGGAAGAGGCTGCAGAGACTCACCTTTTTTTTTTAATTTTTTTTTTTTAATTTAAAACAAGTACAACATCTTTCTTTACATGCTATAGAAAGTGTATCAGTCGGTCACAAATAAACTTTCGTACATCTCCTCCACAGTCAACAAACATAACTCATGTTAACTCAAGCATTTTAACTCAAATATTCATACATATCACCATCATCATATATCCATTTTCATTTGACTGTAGAGAGACTCACCTTTGATCTCCTTCATGTTCATCCCCTTCAGGGCTTTTCCCGCCTCCAGGACATTCTTGAACTGCACGAAGGCAAAGCCCCGGAGCTTCCCATCTGGAAGGCAAAGCCCCCTCTTACACCACGCACTCACCCCTTCCCCAGGCCCCTTCCCCAGGCCAGCTCCTTCCCTGCACCCCAGGAACTGCAGCTTCTGCCCCGCAGAGGGATGGGGGAAAGGCAAAGCAGCCTCCTGCATTCACCCACTGAACCCAGACCTCTCCAACCTTTATGCCAGGGAAAGTAACCTGGGTCAAAGGTTAATATACGAGCCCAGAGGGAAAGAGGGTCCAGCAAGAGAGCCTTCAGCCCTGGCAAGCCCGAGAGAGAGGGGAGCCCGGCCCTCGGGTTCTTCTCCCGCAAGGGGCCAAGGACCTGCCCACCCTCCCGGATCCCCTGCCCACCTACCGGGCTTCCTGGGCAGGGAGGCTTCCAGGACCGTCCCGAAGGCAGCGAAGGCGCTCTTCAGCTCCTCTTCCGTGCACTGCGAGGGACCACAGAAGGCGAAGGGGGTCAAGGGCAAGGAGCGCGGGGGTCGCGGGGGGAGAAGCGGTGCGGTCGCCTTTCTCCCCACTCCGGATGGGGTCGCCCAAAACCCGGGCAGGGCAGCCGCCCCCTCCTACCTTGAAGCTGAGGTTGCGGACGATCAGCCGGGCCTTCTTGGGGGGCCCCCTGGCCTTGGGGGGCTCCGGCGCTTCCCGGGGGGGCTCTGGGGGGAGGGAGAGAGGCCGGGCGAGTGAGGGGGAGGGAGACCCCTCCGCCAAAGGCCCGGAAGGCTCCGCAGCCGCCCGGAGACCGACCACCCCGCAGCCGCTCACCTTCGCCGCCGCCGCCGCCGCCCCCTGCCGCCCTCCGCTTCTTCTTGGGCCGCGCCAGCGCCAGGCTGACCCGGCGGCCGCCGAAGGTGCGGATCTCGCTCAGGGCCCGCTGCGCGTCCTCCGGCAGGGAGAAGCTGACGAAGCCCAGCCCGGTGCACGTCTCTCCGCCTGCAACGACCAGGCCGCCCCGTCAGAGACCGGAGCGGGAAGGGGGGGGGTCTCCCCCGCGGCTGCCGCCCGTCCCCCCTCCGCTCACCGGGCGCCGTCACGGCCACCGCCCGCCGCACCGGCCCCGCCTGCCCGAACTCCCGCTCCAGGTCGGCGGCGCGGGCCGAGGGGGGCAGCCCCCGCACCAGCACCGTCCGCCCCATCCCGCCGCCGCCGTCCGGGAGACACGCGCGCGGCACCGCCGCCGCCATCTTTCGCCTCCCGGAAACGGGGGCGGGCCAGCCGGAAGTGCGGGCGCCCCCTCCAGACGCGGCGGGAAAGAGCGCCACCACCGGGTGGCGCGAGTGCGCATGCCCGGGGAAGGCGGGAGTTTCTCCCCCCCCTCCCGCCGACTCCTTGTTGGCGGAAGGCTTCGGAAGAGGTAGCCGAGGGGGCGGGGCTCCTGTCGGGAGGGGCGGAGCCTAGGCGCGGGTTCTGCCAGCCCGGACCGGGGTTCAAGCGGGGGCTGCGCGAAGCCGCGTCCCTTCCCCGCAGGGCTCCTGCTCCGTTTGCAGCCCGCCTTATTCTGTCGTCCCCTCCCCCTGCGCAGGTGGAAAACGGGGGGGGAGGTCAGCCGAGAGACTCGGGGGAGCATTTTTCTCCCAAGCGTTGCCGGGACGAAGCCCAAGTGGCCCTTCCCTTAGGCTCCTCTCTTGCCTTGCGCTGTGCGTGTGAGGGTGTGTGTCTGTCAGGATCCTAGTGATGGAAGAGACCTGGGAGGTCATCTAGCCCAACCCTCTGCCGGCACAAGCATCCTCAGAGCATCCCAGACAAAGGCTTGTGGGTCTGAGCCCTCTCGGGGCCAGGGAGGAGCCTCCAGAGTCAGGGAAGAAATCTCCCTGGTTTTGGGCTGCCCGGGCGGGTCCCGTCCTGCCATCAGGAGCTCTGGAGAAAAACCCTGGAAGGGAGAGATGGAGGGCAGGAGCATTGAATAAATCAAACTCCCCCCTCCTCCTGCTTCCCTGGGAGAGCCCTTCAAGGCTGGGAAGGCATCCTCTCTGGAGGCTAAAGATGACCCTCCTCATCTTCTCTGCCCTCTTCCCAGTTCCTCAGGGTCCTCCTTTTATGGCGAGGACCAGAACCGGTTCCAGGGCTAATCTGTCCAGGGCAGCGTGGAGCACCGATCCCTTCCCAGAGCTCAATATTTTACCTATGTTGGTGCAGCCCAAGATCACATTGGCTGTTTTGGCAGCTGCAGCACACGGCTGGCCCTGAAGGGGTGGCTGCTCTTCTCCAGCCCTTCCTTTCCTCGGGCACAAGGGGGGGGGGGCGGCTCTAACGGTCCACACGATCCCTTTGGCTTCAGGAAACAGCGCCTGGTTTCTCAGACAATTGTAACCCGGCAATTTGTTTAGGGCAAAAGCTTCCAGTCTTGGAGTTTTCTATTGGCAAGTTGACCTGATGTGGCCCCCTCCCCCTGCGGTATTTGGTCGGGCCGTCCACTTGTACACCACAGACCAAGGAGAAGAGGGCTGCCAGCACTGACCTCACTGGTTCATGCAGAGTTTGAGTTGGAAAGGCACTTAAAGGTCATCTAACCAATCCTTGACAGTCACTCAATCAACCAGCACACTTTGAAAGCATTTGACGAGTGGGAAGCTACCTTTCCCAAGCAGAAGGTGGTGCTGATTTACAGCTTTTGCACCACAAAAATCTCTGACTGCGCCGAATCGGCCTCTTTTTCCTTTGGACTGACTGATTCCTCTTCTCCATGGAGAAGAATCTGCACCCTTTGGCCCAAGACAGTCCTAGATGTTTGCAGAAACCCCCCCCCCCTCCCATCTGCCTTCTCTTGGGCAGTTCAAGGCTTCCTCGCAGGGTTGGTGTTGAAGCTCCTGATCATCCCGGAAGCTCTCGCTCCGTCTCTCCCTTAAGTCTAGTGGCCAAACTGGAGAAGAGAGACTGGGCCGTCCTGAAGGTCAATGGAACTATTCTCCCCCCACCCCTTCCGCAAATCTGGCTGCGATGCTTCCACTGATTGCATCCGGCTTCTTCCTGCTGCCTCCCCCTGCCGGCTCACGTTCTGCTGGGATCCCAGATCTTGCCCTGGCACACAAGGCCTGAGCGCTGGCCTTCCTCCTCCCGGGTCTGGCCCAATGGCCGAGGCTGTGTAGGCCACGTTGTCCTCTAGGGAGGATCTGTGTCTTCTGAAAACGCTCTTCCCATCTTGGCCATTTTTAAAGTTGTGGCAGAGCCTCAGCTGCTGATTTGCTGCAGAGGGTGAGTCAGAGACTAGGTGGGCAGCAGGGATGGCTCAGTTGCACAGCCACCCTGGTGCCTGTTTCTGCTTGACTGGATTGCCAATCTGGGGCTCTGAGCTCCCGCTGGGTTGCCATCTGGCTGGGAACAGACGCTCAAGACGGGTTGCTTCAGAAGGGGGGGGGCAGAGCTTGCCAGCTTCAGCAGCGTCCACCAGAGGGCAGCAGAGCCCTGTGAAACCAGTTACTAAGCAACATGGGTTGTGGGGGGGGGGGAGAACATATACCCTTGATGGTGAACCTATGGCACGCGTGGCCAAAGTGGCACGTGAAGCCATGTTGCCCGGCATGTGTGGCCTTTCCTGTTTGTCTTCCAGCTTTCTGGTGTGCTTGCAAGTGCAACCGTCAGCTGTCCTCGTGCGTGACAGTGCCGAAAAGTGGTGTGCGCATGGATGCCAGCCAGCTGATAGTTGGGTGCACATGCGTGCTAGAACCTGGACGTTTGGCTTTTCCGGAGAGCACACGATGTTTCCGCACAACCTTTTCAGCACAAGTGCCCCTTGCCACCCAAATGGCCCCGAGCTGCCCTTGGCCACCGCGGCTGCTTCTGGCAGATGTTGAAGCGGTGGCATCCTCTGCTTCCCTCCTGTATTTGGAATAGAGTTCCCACTTAGCTCTGGGGGCAGAAGGGCTCGGAATTGCCTGCCAGCCCAGAATGCCCTGAGGACAGAAGGGGGAGGGGGCAGGGGGGCAGCCCCAGGCTCTCCTTGGCTTGCCCGCCTCCTTCTGGAGAAGAAATGGGGGCCTTGCTCGCCCTTGCCTTGAACCCCCCCCCTTCCCCTGCCCCCCCCCCCCAGTGTCCTGCCCTGGACATAGCTCCCCCTCTCCTAGAGCCC